AGACCCTCCCCTTTGGCAGCACTGGCCAATGAAAGTCACACTGCATTGATTGAAAGGCGTAGGAGCCTCACAGTGGGCAGTTCTGAGGAGGAGGGTGGGGCATATACAGTGACTCTTCCGCCTGCTCTTCTGTCATCCAGTGATGAAGAAACTAGAGAAGAGCTTCGGCGAATTGGCCTTGTAACCCCACCCCCTGGCTTTTCCAATTCCTCAGCCCCTCCACCCCCATCCTCCCTGTCACTTGTGCCTCGACGGGGTGCTGAGGGAGGTGCTGGAGAGGCGGGTCCTGACTCTTTAGGGAGACGAGGAGATGAGGAGAATGGTGAAGAGCATCTTCAAGACTCATCATCCCCCAGCTCACTGCCACCATCCATCACTTTAGCCTCACCCACTGCTCCCACGGCTCCATCATCACCTCCAGCAACCCACACTTCCTCTACTGCCACCTCTCCCTCAGGACTCAAGCCTCGCCTTCGCTCACCAATTGGTAGGGGGCGCTCTTCTCTCCGGGATCCATTGCTGAAACAGTCGTCAGACAGTGAATTGCTCCCTTTAGCAGCATCCTCACCATCCTCACCCCTGTGCTCATCGCCCACTGGAGGAGCTGGGAGACAGCCTCGCTACCTGTTTCAGAGGAGGTCCAAGCTGTGGGGAGGGGTTGATGACAGAGCAGACGAACGAAGGGGTTTCAATCCAGATGAGGGGGTTCGGCCGGCTGCACTGGGAGGCCAGAGCTCTGGATCGGCTGTAGATCTAACCAGTCGCTCGGCGTCTGCTCTAGAGTTAAGTGGAAGAGCTGGATCTGGCCTGGATCTGGCCAATCGTCTTCAGCTTCTGAATAAGGACAGTCATTCTCTTGGAGAGGAACCTAGTCCTCTGGACCCTGGCAGAAGGTCACCAGTGGGAGGTGCCAGGTAGAACATTTAACATTTAGTAAAAAAAAAAAAAATGAATAGACTAACCCCCACAAATAGTACACAAGTACAAATTTGACTTGTTAAATGTTTATGCATTATAATTGTAAACCATATTCTTTTGTTCCAGATGAGTGGACAGTCAAAAAGTAGGTTTTATACCTTAGTAATTGTCTTATAATATTGCCATAGCTAACAGTTATAAGCTAACATCTCCACCACAAAATACTAACAACTAAAAACAACAAAACCCCATCTAAATTAATGAACACCACAGGAACACCACATCTATTCACTATGTTTTTCACATGAACAGTACCTGCCATACCTGGCATATGACAGTGATGTCCATGTGGAAACATTCCCTATGGAAACACTTTTGTGTGTGAAAGTACAGTGTTCAACTTAAACACAGGCTCAGGTTGTTGCGTTCCTGTAGTGAAATGATTTATCTGCATGCTATGGCTCGCAGCTCTAATATTATGGACAATAATATTGGATAATTTTTGATTTGTTACAGGTTGTTTTCCAGTCTAGGTGAACTTCACACAATTTCCCAGCGAGGATTCGGTGCTAGTTACACAGTGCGACCAGGCAGCCGCTATCCAGTCACCCGCCGAAGCCCATCACCCTCTCCTTCACCTGCTGAAAGAGCCATTGGACTTGCAACATCCCCCACTACCTGTCCAGAGAGGCCAGACCTGAGCTCAGGCCGGGGCCTCACCATTCTGAAGTCCTCCAGCCTCAGCCTGCCTTCAGAACCAAAGGAAGTTCGTTTTGTTATGAGGAGTGCTAGTGCCAGGACCCGCTCCCGCTCTCCCTCACCCTCGCCACATGCCTCTCCCTGTCCCTCCCCTGTCCTTAGTGGCCCCTTGTTGGCCCTTCGCCCGTGGAGGCAGCGCCCCCTCAACTTTATGGAATAAATATGATGTGGGTGATTGGCTGGAGAGTGTTGGGCTGGCTGAACACCGTCAGCGCTTCCAAGACCATGAGATTGAAGGTTCCCATTTGCCCGCCCTCACCAAAGAGGACTATGTGGAGCTGGGTGTCACCAGACTGGGACACAGGATCAACATAGAGAGGGCACTGCGACAGCTACTGGATGGATCAACTTGACCCTCAACCTCTAATCAATTAGAATTGTGACATAAAATTGTTCTTGGTCAGACTATAGGTTATCTCTTTTACTAGCACATGGATTTTAGGCTTGATTAAATAATTATTGTCTACTAATTGTTATTACCACCATTATTTTAAATCTGCCCCAAATAACAAATTGTTTTCAAGTGAATATATTTTACACTAACCTAAGTTCAAAGCCAACATTGAGTTCTGTACTGGATAAGAGGTAAAAAATGAATGGACTGAGGTTTACAATTATCACTGTTGTCATTCTCTTGGAGTTTTGTGTCCCTCTGTTCCAAAACGAGGCTACTTAAACAGCTTGAAGGAACTACTATTTTTGTTTTTGTGAATTGATTATTTTCCAAATAATACTATGAAAATGGTTTAAGTTCATATATCAATGCAAATTATTTAGTCCATTAATAAGAAGTAATAATATTATGTAGTGGTGATGATTTAGAATTTATGGAAATCCATTTTCATTTCTTATGATTTGACAATGAGTTGAATTCAAGCTCGCTTTGATGACGTTTGAAATTCACGATGATTTGTCAATGAGTGTGACTTTGTGCTGTGTTTCAGGGAGAGCTACAGCCGAGCTCCAACTGTAAACCTCTGGTTAATAACCTGCTTATTGAGGGCTGACTGTACAAGGTGCTATTTGTTTAAAGCCATTTGTACAGAAATAGCTTTTTCCTTCCCCAGTGATACTAACCCACAACATTTAGGTTGAATTTCAAAGTATTTTGTTCTTTAAAATATCAGAAAAAAAAACTTTTATGCCATATGGAACCCACTGCCATAAAATGAGCTTCCTTCAATCACTTTTCAAAGGCCATATTTTGAACAGTCCAGAATTTCAACAGCCCTTAAGAGTTTTATATCAAAAGCCACCAGAATAGAATATATATTATTATAAGAAAATTATAGTTTTTTCCTAAAACCAATCTAATGTCAGGATTTATTGCTGCTATAGGATGTACACTCAAATTAGGATTTAATCATGTAAACCAGTTCAGAGCAGTGACCCATAAAATTCAGAATGCAAAATATTTTAAGAAAAAATATATAATTTTTAAATTGTTATGGGTAAATAAGAATTAAATATAATTTTCTATTAAACATCATCTATAACAGTTTGGCTCTTAAACAGAGGGTTGCCTTAGCAAATATTGTCCCTCTGTTTTCAATATCTTTTGCGAATATTTAAAGCTCATCCTCCTATCAATATTGAAACTATGATTTGTATTTTTAACAGTCTTACTAGCATGTTCTTAGCTAATTTTACAGTGCAATATGTATCTTCAAAGCACAATCAATGGTCCAGTGCCTGCATCAGCCACAACTCTGCAGATAACAACCTTACCTTAAAGGCGTCCCACAATCACAAACTATTACATGTTCATTAGAATGCATTTTGGGCTAAGAAACCCTAAGAATAATAAGAAAGGTATACAGCACACTAGTCTATTTTAGTATAGCAAAATGTAGCTATATTGTAACATAAAATGTGGTAGAAACAGTTTATACTCTCACTTTTAACGGTTGAGTACAAAATCCTACTACTGAGATTTGTGAAATGTGGAGAAAAACACCATACCAAAACAAAAAAGGAGCACTTAACCATTTTAATATTTCTGACAGAAAGCCATTTTCTTATGCTTGTATGATGTATCTTGATCGAAAACTGGTATACTGGTAAAACTAATCAAATAGCCTATTGTTATTCTTCCATCACTGACAATTTTACCAATCTTACCTTGCTGCTAACATTGTTTGATTACCAATGTTTAATTTTGTATTCTCATTGCTTATAGAACCATAGCAACAGAATATTGTCAGTTCTTTGACAGGAGCAATTGACATTTTAGCGATTTGTTCTTGTATTTAAGAGCACCATATTTCAAGGTATTTGACCACCTCTAAAACTTTTATTCGAGGATTTGAATTTATTCATGCATTGATTTTTGAAAATATATTTCCCATTTTAGTTTTTATTTGAAAATTGATAAACACAAGACTTTTTACATTTATATCAGAAATTGTAGAACTTAATTCTCTCGTTTGTATAATCTACTTATTGTGCATTTATCCCAACATATCCTTCCAGCATACCATGGTAAAATATTTGAGCCAGTTGATTTGTATGTGATAAATATTCTAGAAGGGGCTGTTGTGTGCTGAAATTAAAATGTTGACATTAGAAATGCTTCCTGTGTTGGACTAAGGAGCTGTCTGACCACTGTTGAACATTACTGCAGATTAGAAAGACCTATTTCAATTGTATGGTTCCACATTTTCCAACATTCTTTGAGTATGTCTGTATTTCCCAGAGTGAGTGGTGTATTTGTAGTTTTTTCTCTTCCTTTTCCTAAGGCACAAAATGACAACTAGTCAGCATGGCCATTGGCCACTGCAAAGCTCTGCAACACAACAGATTGTAACCTTTCTAATAAATCGTCATTTATTATAACTGTTTCTTTAATTTCCTTCACCCTCACAGGTCCTCTGGTGATGACTTAATGCTGACCCTGTTGGTCCAAAGGCATCAGTTTGAGTTAATAACTGACAACTATTGCCATGCCATTACAGCAACAGGCAGAGGCACAAGCTATAGCATGATGAGAGTTACTCTTTCACTCAACCATATATTTTAAGGAGGCCAAAACAGATAAATATAACTATTAACATTCCAAAATTATTTTTGATCTGTGATAAAATTATTAAAATTAACACTGCTACACTGTACATGTGTGAAATATGGACCAAGAGATTTAATTTTTAAAATGAAAAATCAGATATGCTAGTCATACACAAACCATATTGATGTTGTCCTGGTTCATCTTGTTTATCTGAATGAATGGGATCCAATAGTTGCGAACCACCCCCTTCTTTCCTATTGGCTGATGGACCTGGTATGGTCAGGGTCAAGCTCAGAAAATTCAGTAGTACGTAGTACTTGACAGTCACTGCCAGATCAGGTACGTGCATTTCATGGTGTTTCATGTGCAGTTCAAAAGGAACTATAGGTTTAGACAAAAAATACTATATATATATATATATATATATATATATATATATATATATATATATATATATATATATATATATATATATATACACACACACAAAGTCAGGTATGTTTAGCTGATTTTTTTTAGGACAAACATTAGTCCCTGACAGTGTCTTGTAGTTAGTGAATGAAGTAAAATATTTACTTTATTTTGTGTGTTTATGTCAACTATGTGTGTTCACCTGCATGACGCAGAAACTGAGAATGATTTCACCATTTTGTGATATTGGTTTCCAGCCAAAATGCAGTCCATCGCAGACTTAATAAAAAAGAAAAGAGATGGAGAGGAGTTGACTACAGAAGAGATCCAAACTTTCATCAATTCTGTTACAAGCAAAACAATACAAGAATGTCAAATAGGTATGTGACATGCAAACCCTATGTGTGAAGACACCTGTTTTAAATGTTTTAACTTTTAACTTTTCAGGGGCCATGCTCATGGCTATTTGGCAGAAGGGTATGACTGTCAAAGAGACCCAGGAGCTCACTCGAGGAATGATGTCATCAGGGGAAGTGATGTCATGGCCTGCGGAGTGGGCAGGGCGTGTAGTTGATAAACATTCAACTGGAGGAGTGGGGGATAAAGTCAGTCTGGTGTTAGCACCTGCATTAGCTGCTTGTAACTGTAAGGTACATTACATTTTTTGTACAACTGGAAGTCTAACTGTAAATTTCATAACAGCTAATGGGAATTTAAATAAATAGACAACATACAATGCTACTAAGATCATTGTCCATAACTTGATGATGATGACATGTGTATACCCTTCAGGTGCCCATGATCAGTGGGCGGGGGCTGGCACATACCGGAGGCACTCTGGATAAACTAGAAGCAATTCCTGGGTTTAAAATTCACAAAACACAAGCAGAGGTTAAAATAAAAGTTCCCTGTTGGTGCAAGTCTGTAAATATTTAATTTAAGTGCATGTACAATTATTGCAGGTTCAGGAGGTTCTGGCCTCAGTGGGTTGTTGCATTGTTGGTCAGACTGAGACACTAGTTCCTGCAGACAGAGTTTTGTATGCTTTAAGAGATGCTACTAGCACTGTGGACAGTCTACCACTCATTACTGGTGCACAAAATACCTTCCATTTAATGATTATCAATGGCCACAATAAAAAAGTTTGAAATGTTTTCTTTTTTTTTTTTTTTTTTTACAGGGTCTATTATATCTAAGAAGGGGGCAGAAACTTTATCAGCTCTGGTGCTTGATGTAAAATTTGGAAAAGCTGCTCTGTACAAAGATCTAGCCAGTGCCAAAGAACTAGCACAGTCATTGGTTTGCATCTTATGTTCTAATAATTATGAGAAATGAAAACAAAACTCTAAATGTTCTTTTCACCAGGTAAACACCGGGAACGGTTTGGATATTCGTACAGCGGCAATCCTCAGCAATATGAACTCAATAATTGGTCGATGTGTGGGTAACAGTTTAGAGGTGATTGAATCCTTAGAGGCACTAAAAGGGAACGGTCCTGATGACCTGATGGAGTTGGTGACAACACTTGGTAAAATATTACAAAGACTGGCAGGTTTCCTACTTGTTGCTGTATGATTCTTAAACAACTGTTTTTGTCCAGGGGGAGTGTTGCTAATGATGACAGGTGTGGTGTCAAATTTATCAGAGGGCAAAACTAAAATCTTTGAAGCTGTCACTGGTGGGGGTGCCGTTTCAAAATTTCAGGCTATGCTGGAAGCTCAAGGTGTGGCCAAAGAAGACGCTCTACACCTTTGTTCTAAAAATACAGACTATTATCAAGTCCTGAGAAAATCCAAGCATTGCATTACACTGACAACAAAGGAAAATGGTAATTATATAACATAGGTCAATAATGCAAATTAGGTAATAAAAGTTAAAATGCAAGGACTTTGCAAATATCAAATCTTTTTACTACTATAATTATTGTATTTACTGCTTTTATAGATGTATTATCTATTTTTTATGAAAACAGAGACCAAAAATAACCACAAGTAATCCATACCATCATCATTCTATGCAGGCAAGCACTGCAGTCTTATATTCTATTACCGGGAGTAATAATATATTCCCTATGCCTGTGTAGAATTTTGACTGCACATTCCCTAAGCCTGTGTGCCAGAGGTGCCTGCATTGTCATTTGTTTTTATTGTTATATTTTAACTGCACTTTCTGAGTTTAACAGATTAATGGCTAACTTGTACGCATTTGCTGAAATCAAGTCCTTCAGTGGTTGATTATAGAAGATGTGTACTCTAGTTGCTGTGTGCTTTGCCACAATTAAGAGGCTGTATACTGACGATTTGTTATGTGCCACTGAATGTGTGCTTGCCTGTCACTGATGTGTGACTTCAGTACTGTGGTTCCAGGTGTGGTTGAGAATATAGATGGCTTGTGCTTGGCCCAAATCCTCCATAAACTTGGAGCAGGACGATCAAGTGTTGGAGCGGCTATTAATCACAGTGTAGGTGCTGAGCTCCTGGTGTCACTGGGTGAGGAGGTGCCAAAGGGTAAGGAACATAATATGGACAAACTGTTGTTTATGCAATTTTATTTTCCTACTCATTTCTATTATAGGTTTACCCTGGTTGAGGCTTCACTATGAAACACCAGCTCCAACTGAAGAACAAATAACCCAACTGCACAACAGTTTGCTTGTAGTATTAAAGGAAGACACAAAATACCAGAAACAAAATTTAGTTCAGGAAATTCTGTTGCCTGATGAGGTTAAAGCACAACAAATCATATACTGTAATGAATAAATGCTGACACCACATATTATACAATAAAGGGACATAATTCCATAAAATGAACTAAACTAAAATGTGTTGTTGACTAGGGTGGTGAGAAGTTGCATACTGCACCTACATTGTCCAGGATACAGTGTGACAAAAAAACCCCAAAAACATATTATCAAACTTTTTAAAGACACTCTTTTATTTATAAAAGACCAAACATAAAAAATGCAATGATGCTGATTACAGGAAGAAATTTATCTAAATCATCAGTCCTTAAAGTTTTTTTTTTTTTTTTTTTTTTTTTTTTCCTTCCAGAAATACATCCATGGTCAATGCACAACAGAGTTTAATGGTTCAGCTCTAATGTTTCCTAAATCCAGTGTGGAATCCGTCTCTTCATCAATCTCACCAATTACTGCCCTGCAATGCCCAGAAATTAACGCATTATTGCACCAGAAGTTTAGATTTTAATGAGGTGTGTACAAATAGTTGAAAGTGACTTACACATTATCGCCTCGAACAATGTACAGTCCCAGCACCACCTGCTCCACGCCTTGACTAGAACTGAACACTCGCTCATGGCTCTCATCCAGGATCAAGTTGATGGTCTGATCAAATCCTTTCAGGGTGCCCTATAGAAACAAAGACATAGACTTGCTTTGAGATTCTATCATTTCTATCATTTTATCATTTTTTTCACCACACCATATTGTTCCACACCGAGAATGTGTGTTAAAAATAAGTGGGAATTATTTGAGCTTGCTTTTTGTAATGTGCATAACAACATGAACTGACTATGTTTACACACTAATAATCTGATCAACATCTGATTTCTGGAGGTATCACATTATTGTAATATCATGTTAAAATTTCCATCTGATTAAAATGTGTCTTCTTTATGATGATAATTAAAGAGGAAATGTTAAAGATTCAAAGAGTTAGAGAATGCGTATTTTACTTTGTCTTCCAAATATCAGGGTGCTGGACTGAAACTGGATGAAACATCCAAGCTCGATGAGTACATCAAGGACAAGGCTGTGACAAATGAGGTGCTCAGAGAATGTCTCAGATAGTGGAGTTCAGAGGAGGAGGTGCTGATGGGACCATCATGGACAAGTTCTTACACGGGGCATACTACCGAAACATAACTGAAGTGGCTGATATCAAGCAATCCTACCAATGGCTTGAGAGGGCTAGTACAGAAGGACAGCACAGAGGCACTGATCCTGGCTGCTCAGGAGCAGGCCCTGGGCACGCGAGCAATAGAGGCCCAGATCTACCACACCAGACAAGACCCACGGTGTAGACTGTGCAAAGAGACTCCTGAGACAGTCCAGCACATAACTGCAGGGTGTAAGATGCTGGCAGGGAAAGCATACAAGGAGCAACACAACCAAGGAAACACCTCCAAAGGTTGTGGAGAATGACCGAGCCAAGATCCTGTGGGACTTCCAGATACAGACGGACAGGATGGTGATGGCCATGGTGGTGGACATTGCAATACCCAGCGATGGCAATATAAGGAGAAACGAACACAATAAACTAGAGAAATACCAGGGGCTCAAGGAGGAGCTGGAGAAAGCCTGGAAAGTAAAGCCATCAATGGTGCCCGTGGTGATCGGCGCACTCGAGGCTGTAACCCCCAAACTGGAAGAGTGGCGACAGCAGATACCAGGAAACACTGGGAATACTAGGAACAGCAAAGATACTGCCCCGAACTCTCAAGTTCCCAGCTGGATGAAGGTGACAGACACCAACCACCAGAAGGTGAGAAACACATATATATATATATATATATATATATATATATATATTATACATATATACTTGCAACTTACTGACCTGACAATCCCTCACAGGCCTTTTCAGCATACAGTTCTCCAATCTCTACCCTCAAAAGGCCTTTGTAAAGTCTCCCCGGGGTAAGACTAGTCCCAGGGATGATTATATATATATATATATATATATATATATATATATATATATATATATATATATATATATATATATATAATATATACACACACATACATACACACACAAAGCATTAAGAATACACAAGAGGGTGTTCATAGGCAATAAATTTACCACGATCATGCGTCCATCAGATGTGACAATAGCCACGGTGCCTGACACAACAGGTTAAGAAAACATTTTACCAGAGAAATGCTTTGATGTTAAGATACTAAAACACAATCACAATATGCACAATATATTTTCATCACTGTTCAGCACCGTAAACATTTGAATTTGAACATCGAGGCGAGCTAAGCTAACTAGCATTCATTCATTATATACCGCTAGAATTGGATTCAAGGATACGGTTTATGTAGCTCTCCAGAGCAGTGGACATCTTTCCGGTTGGTCTTTGTGACTACTTAGGTTGAAATTGAGCACTAATCGACAAACCTTGGTCAATTAAAGGTTGTTACGAAAAAAGATGCAGCTAAATGCTACAAACATACAGGATCAGACCAGACTAGACTAATCACACACTGAACAGACAGACTGAACAGAAGAGCAACGAGTGTCTTCACCTCTATGGCATGATAGACTGTATGGCCACCATATACGGTCTATGGTGGCTACAGAAGTTTAGTCATTGTTGCTTTGCCTGCATTCTATGGATAGACCAGTCACTACATCAAAACCTTTTTAGTCTTTTAGATTTCGTTATAAAATAGGTAGCCTAAGTGTATATATAATATATTATATATATATATATATATATATATATAAATATATTATATATACACTTAGGCTACCTATTTTATAATATTATATATATATATATATATATATATATATATATATATATATATATATATATATATATATATATATATATATATATATATATATATATATATATATATATATATATATATATATATATATAATACACTTAGGCTACCTATTTTATAACGAAATGTATATAATTTCATATTAATGTTAAGCCTACAATCATAATTATATATTGTTTAACACGTAAATCTTAGTGAAAAAACATGACATATTCTATTAAATATAGTGTAAATTACTGTAATGGGGGCCCCATGTGATCTTTTTGGAGGGCTTTGGGTTTTAAATTGGGCTCAGTCTGTTTTGTCTTGGCCGTACTTTCAAAGCCTAACAATAATATCTTAGTACATACATTGTGGAACTTGGCATGATTCATATGAGAATGGTGGGGGGAAAAAATTATAGGACACTCTATTATTTTGGCATTTCTTCATCTTTATTGTTGCTCAGTAGTCGTCCATATAAAGGGGAGTAAGGGGAGTGAAAGAGAGCAGTGGAGCCCAACAGGAGACAACACCAGGAACATCATGCTACCAAAGTATTAAATTTGTACAAAAATACTTTACAACATCCCTGTTCCTTTAAATAAAAATACAGTTTGGTTGGTTGGTGAAGCTACATGGACCCACAATCTGACCCACTATTATAAATGGCAGTGCAATGCATGTTTGTGTGTCTGTGTGCGCGTGGGTGGACATCCTGATGAGGTGAATCATTGAGTGCAAATATCTGCAATGTTACACACACACATACATACAGCTAATTATGATGCTCTATAACACACAACCAGTGCATCCCACAGACAGGAGTGTGTATGGCTTTGATCACTCATAACTCTGTAGAAAATACAGATGGAGGTTTCCTGACATCTTCTGGAGACAAAAGACAACAGAACAACCCACTACTTAAAAAGAGCCTATCGAGCTTCCTATACCTTGCTAATGTTATGCTAAAAACTTGAGAATTAACTTATACATTAATAGTTAGTATAAGTTATTTGTGAAAACTGCAGGCATGAACTGAGATATGAATCTATCCAGAGAAACCAATTAACTTTTCTTTGTGCTGAATACAATTTAGGTTTAGCCCTGTGTAACTCCTGGATTCCTCTTAATATAAAGATGTAACATGTATATAAAGAATATATGCCCATACGCAATACCATGACAATTTTTGTATGCTAAACAACATGAAAGAATAATGTACTCTGTCACAAATATATTGAGGCAAAACTTTCTAAATTTCCAGAACAAAATATCTGAGCAAATACTAAAATTAGCCATAACAGGCTAAGCATAAAATGAGGTGGTTTGTTTTTAATGTTATTTATGGGTCTTTTAACTTACACCTTGGTACTACAGTTTTGCATAGTCAAGTCTCAAGTCTTTTGTATCTTTGTGCATTCTTCAGATATTATTCTTTATCTATGGCTCTTTGTAGCCCTGTGTTTGCTGAGTTGCATGATCATTTTTAGAGGTGTGCTTCTTGATTGAGGTTACAGAAAGTTGTAAAAGTGATGCCATAATCAGTATTAGCCCTCAAGTAGAGCACTTATAGACATGGAGGTGGTTTTCTTAAGGACAAAGCAGAGAAGGCCAGTTTAAATAGTGAGTTCAGACTGTGGTGAGAGCACAAATATGAGGACACCACTCACAAATAAACACACACATGCACACACGCACACACACACAATCACAGGCTGCCTGTTTTAACAGGGTTTGTCTTTTTTCTTATGAAACATTGTGGCTCTAATGTGAATGCATTGTGATTTTTAGACTTCGATGGTATGGTGTGAACAACAACAAGACTAAACCATTGTTTTGTCTATTTTACATATTTTGGGTTCAGTCTCTATGGAAAACAAACAAAACTGACACAGTCATTAAAAACACACAAATTGATTAGCATATTAAATTACGATTACCGAGGGTCAAGGTCTGAGGTCATGGTGGGGCATGCTTTCTCTTTCCTGGAACAGTTGAGTGCAGAGCCCATCACAAACAGACAGACAGGTAGGAAGCTTTTTCTGATTGGTTCCAGCCAATCACCGCATCACTCAAAAACATCTCTCATCTATCATCCTGGCTGCCTTTTGGTCTAGAGAGAAAGGGAAAGGGTAGGGCCAAGATAACGCCAAGATAACATATTAATGTGGGAGGAGCTAAACTGGCCTTGTGTTTATCACATACACAGTTACACACACACGCACACACACACTCGCACCAACAAACATACACACAGTGTGGCCAGTCCAACAGGTGTAAACAGTATAAAGAAATCTTATTGATCTGCTGAGCTTCATCATCATTAGCATGATAATTATTACTGTCCAGTCTGTAGATTTTTCATGGCACACAACTTAAACAATTTTAAACTCACTGCTTTTTAAATCATTACTAATGCTCCGATTAAAATCATCATATTAGTGTTCTATGTGGGGTAATATAGTGTTGTAACAATGTAGCGAGGAATGAAATGTGCTATTAGGATGCTTAGACTGTATTTAAACTAGTGTTGGCACAGTTTCAACTTTTTCAGTAATGATAGGTGTTTGGTTTCTATCTTGATTTTGCTCATCATTCACTATAGAAATATCAGATAGACCAGATTCACAAGGCTGACAGATATTAAATCATAACATTGAAGAGTCTAATCGGAGCATTCATCATTTCCATGGCAACGTATATTAATCAACACAATTAAGCAGTCCCACCAAAGTTTGTGCTGCTGTGGCACAGTAAGGTCTGAGTAGTGGCTTTTTTCTGCCATGCCTCTGTTACCACTCAGACCAAAAACATTTATTTTCACTTAGGCTCTGGCTTCAGTAGTACTATAAACCTTTCTATGTACCATAGGCCCCCCATAAGTCTGACTCAGCCCCGCAAGTCCGACTCAGCCCCATAAGTCCAACATGGCCATGTTGTGGCTTCAGTAGTAATAACTTCCAGTGACAACTTTAAACTGGACAGTGAGAAGGCAAATAGTTGCAACAGTCCCTCGATGTGCTTTCAGGCTGCCTCTGCAGTTCGATGTTTAGTGGTCGCAGTTCCAAAGAGTGTGTAGCACCATAAACGGTCCGCTCTGAACCAGTACGGATGGATCAAAACATTTTTGTATTTCATCCTCTCCTTGTTAACTTCTCCAGTCAGTGTAGAAAACTGGTTATAACCAGTAATATATTATATATATGTATTTGTAATGCTATAAGGAATTATTATTAACTTGCCCCACAAGCCCTGCCCCCACATTGTCCCCGGGTTGGTTCCATTTGATTGGCCCATCTTCTCCGCTGATTGACAGCTCTGTGGGCTCGATGTTGATGCTCACTGGTGGAGACAAAGATGTGTTGTCAGTGTGATTCGTCATGAGAGAGGAAGTGGGATTTCGACTGATGACGAGTTCAAGGCGGTTTGGGGACTCTGCGATCAAAGGGACTACAAGACAGCAGTCAAAGTCTCTGGTCCGAACATGGTTAATCTAAAACAAAGTCATAAAATAAAAGTCAATGAGTAAAGAATACTAGTTTATACTGTGGCTACAATCTGCCAAACTATTTTACTTGTAGTATTCGATCAAAGGCCTTGAGCCCAGCTTGCTCTGCTGGGCCTCCTGGTCGAATGTTGTTGACATAGACACCTCGATCCAACAAACCATCCGAAACACTGAATCCAAAATCATCCAAATCGGATACCTTTTCCAGAGTCAGCTGCACAAACAAGAACATTACACACACTTCCATAAATCATATGTTAGCATAGAGAAAACAAAGTGTGCAAAATAATTTCTGATATATTATACCTTATGGAGTTCCACTGGGGTCTGGTTGAGGATTTCATTTACCTCTTGACGCATCTTCTTCATGGCAAAAGCTCTACGTTGAGGGTCTGATGGCAACGTGTTCGATCTCGCACTCACCTGAATTAAAGTAAAACTGAGTTGAATTCAAAAGTTTATATATTGCCATTTACGCAAACTATCATGAGGGTTACTTGTGGACGGGAGTTGTTGCGCTCCTGAAAACTGGCCTGTCGTCCCAGTGTGCTGCGCAGAGGAGTGGGGTCATGGTTCAGACTGAGACTTGAGCCTGACATGATTGTGGCCTATAACAGCAATTCAGTACAAGGTCAAATCAGTATCAGTAAATAAATGTTTAAAAACTGCATGGCATCTGTTGACCAGCAACTGTAATTCAATTTATATTAGACTAACTTTCAACTAGTTTTGGTCCTCTGTGATCTGAAGAACATATTATATTATTAATACATAAATAATAATATATTTTTGATGATTTTTATGACGTATTGTAAGACCTTGATTTGACATCTCTTTGCAGAATATTGCTTCACATGTTCACTGCAAACCGCAAATCAGACAAATGTGTCTAATGTATCTCCATTACAAAATCTCACTATCAATCTCACTATTAACTGTAATAGATTCTAATCATCAAAAATGCTGTGCTGCATTATGTGTTTTATTTATCCACAGCACAAACTGTAAACTAAAATTATTACAAATTTAGTTCAAGCTTCACCCATGTCACTCAGAAAATGCTCAAAAAATCATTGGATGCATGCATGACTGAGAGATAAGCTTCATAACTGGCAAAACAAACTACCAATCAGGCCTTGCACAAGCTTTCCCAGCATGCCTTGCTCAAACTGCCATGCCCGGTGCACCATAACTCTGCAACGTGACTGTTGAGAAGCT